CGACATAACAATGTATTCTGGCATCACAAACTGTATTACTCTCAAAAAGTACAAAATCCTACCACAAACATGAGAATTTGGCAAAGTAAGAAGTCCTCCATGCACGTAAGTCCATTCACTATTTCTCACGGTCGGAAGAGTCCACTTCGAGTAGGGGGAAACAGGTTCTTTTAATTATAGAAATTACTCTGTGAAAAATACTACTTGTGCATGTGGCATTCTAACAAAGTAACATCTTATTTAGATACCTATAAACAGGAGTACAATTGCAAATAATACATCAATTATTACATCTAAATTCTTTAATAAAATGGTTCCCCCTACAAATAAAAACCCCCACTACATCAAAGACTTATAGTGAAACCCTAGACCATTGAATTTGTGGCAACTTGAAGAGTGTGTCAATGTGGCTATTTGTTTGAATGATGGCTATGTAATAATGTAGCTGTAGCATACCTAAAGTGAAAAATGGGGAATATAAAATGTATACTACCGGTAGTATTTGGGAATTGGGGAAAGATAAAAGAAGAAATAAAATATCTGTAAAAGTAGTTAATTCTTTTGCCAATAACTTTTACACATTCCTGGAAATTTGTCTAAAGCATATATTTAGGATATTGTAAATTTCAAGCTCTAAATAACTTCCATATCAGCCAGACACAATAGAATGCCCAGCCCAGTGGTAAGCTGTGTGCCCTGAACTAAGAACAATGGGATCTGAACAGAGCACCCTGATTTAAACCACTCTTTGGAACTTTGAAAGATGAATAAAAGTGAAACCAGTTGGATGGGAGTCTTGTCAACGGACAGTTTGTTGTTCATACAGTAAAGATGTGTATCTTGCAAAATAATACGAATAATTGTAAAGGGATGTAAGAGAAGTTGCTCATGTACATGTAGTAATGGTCCTTTCAGTTCAATAAGTGTCTAATATAATGTCTTATATCTATTTTGTAACTTAACTTAATGGATTGCTTACTACATGGCTGTATGGCAGGTGGTCTCAAATTTTTATTTTTATTTTTTTTTCGCCCGCCCGCTCCATTTTTTTTCTAGAAAAATCCGTTAACCAAGAAATTAAATTGGTGTGGCCTAAGCCTACATGTACAATGTATATCTATTGATCATTGTCACCAGTACTGCTGACAGTGACAGCCACCCACATGTTCAGAATATATTATATTGCATGACTCTGCATGTTCTGATGTTGCTGAGTTGTATTCCAGTGAGGCTACTTGTATTGGAACATTATCACATGAAGTCAGCTTCTCTGGGTGCCATCCGATTTGTAACGGCAACCCCGAAAAAGTCGGATGGCACCCAGGCTAGAAGTCAGCACCTGATCCACTGTCGACTAAAATGTGTCATTTCTATCTGCCACAATAGAATCCTAGCCAGTATTTTACAGCTTCACAATCAGTAGCACATGTAAGTGTAAAATTATCTATAAATTATTGTGATGAATGACCAACTGTAATCTTCAGTAGCTTAATAGCAATAGTAATTCTTGTTCCGCTTGATAACAGCATACTTAAGTAATCTTTTCAAACTTTTATGTATGCATAAGCAGAATATTAAAGCTTTAGGATAAGCCTCTTGTTGCCATCAATCATTTATTGAGTAAATCCTATTACACACTGCAACATACTTAACACTTTGCAGAGGCTGACCTTAACAGTAAATAATGTCAAATTACCAACATGCAGACCATGCATTGTAGCCTGGAATTCTGTGTCTTCAGGGCTGTGCTTGGACTTTCCGAAGCGAACTAGTAGAGCACAACATTAGGCTTAACTTAGTACAAGCCTTTATCCCCTACCAGGAGCATGAAACTGTTCTCTTAGTCTTAGTGCGGACCAACTCCCCTAGCATACATTCTATATCATCTGTCCATTTGTACTCTTTCCAGTCGCTTCCTAAAGCCCGGTAGAGGCTAATAATAATATAATATGCCTTAGGTTTACACAAATGTAGTTTTCATCCTTTTGCTTCCTTGGAATCAAGGGAGGAGGTTTTGTTTTTTTACTAATTTTCAGTGCTCACAAGATGATGGGGGCTGAAGTTTGCTGGACTGTATCAAATTGTCATGAAAGCTCAAACACTTGTGAAACACTCACTCAAACAGACATTGATTAATACTATTTATTTTCTTTGCCACAAGTACAGCTAGAACTGTATACAACTGATAAAAACAAGAGATAACAAGATAAATATGGAAAGAAAACCATCAGTATTGCATAAGAACATTCCTGTGTCTGATGCAAGAGAACTGTGTATATTACCGTAAACAAAACTGTTATTGTTAGCTTGATGTTTCTGACTTAGGCCACACCAATTTAATTTCTTGGTTAACGGATTTTTCTACAAAAATAATGGAGCGGGCGGGCGAAAAAATTAAAAAAAATAAAAACAGGCCTAGGCATCCTATTATGGCCCAAAATGGTACGATAGGAGCCATAAAGTCAACACACCAGGCTGGTTCAAAATTTAAACAATGAATTTTGAACTTTTAATTGTAGCACTGCATTGAAAGATGGAATGACTGTAACAAGTAGTAAGAAAAGGACTGTTTTCAACTGTTTAGGGCAAAATATGAGCATTTTGCAGTTGATTCTGAATTTTTATTTTCATTTGCAAATGAGAAAAAAATGAAGAGGCAAATCCGTTAACCAAGAAATTAAATTGGTGTGGCCTTAGGGAGAAGAGATGCTGCTGCAGTGAGCATTAGTTCAGTGACCGTTAGTTCATGACCGTTACTTCGTGACTGTAGTCCGTGACCGTTAGTTCAGTACCCAGAAGTGGCCCTTGTGGCTTTGCACTGAGAAAACTCGTTAAAAAAACACAAATGATAAATTGTTTATTGCAAACTCATGCCTGAGGGCTACAAATTTAAGGGACATTTGATATACATCTAAGTACTAGCAAGTAATACATAACAATAAGACACAAGAAATAAAACTGCCTAAAACTACTGGGTTAGAGTTTAGACTTCTTCTTTTATGACATCTAGAAAGACATAATAATTTGATTAATTTATATCTCTTTTTGACAAAATATTTATACTAAAACACACAACAAAAGTTCAGCTACACTGGGGAGCTTTTGAGACGTACTCTGTCTCTTCATCAACCCGATTCAGATCTCGTCTTGGAGTTCTCTTGTCATGTGACTTGATGGGATAATCATGTGACAAGAGACAGTCATATACAGGTTTTAGGTAGTGGCGCCCCCTGTTCTTGTTTAAGGTACTGCATTGTCTGCGGATCTGGATCGCCTTCTGGACATCGCTTGCAAATCAATCATAATCTTGATCCAGCACTTTTACTCTGTCCCAGTCTACGTTGTGTTTCTTCTTGGCGACGTACTCCTTTTTCTATGATGCATGGGTTTTGGTTTAAGAGAACATAAACAAAAAACAAAACAGTGACTTACCAGCAGACACTGCCTGATGATGAGAATGATGACGATGAGGGTAACGTACCCTCCCACTGCAATCACTACGATGGCTCCAGTCGGCAGCAGGGGTTCTGATACAGCAGGGGTCACAGTGGGGGACTGGAGGAACACAGTCATTACTGTCAATACTCATTCTCTATTAAGTTGCTAAAAGGCTAGGTGTAACAGGTCGTTCAGTGTAATATGGCCAGCTGCCGCCGCACCGCGTGCCTGCGAAGCTGGCGTGTTACGCCGAAAGGCGGTTATACCAGCTATACAGATACAGAAGCTGGCGTGTTACGCCGAAGGGCGGTTATACCAGCTATACAGATACAGAAGCTGGCGTGTTACGCCGAAGGGCGGTTATATCGGCTATACAGATACAGAAGCTGGCGTGTTACGCCGAAGGGCGGTTATACCAGCTATACAGATACAGATACTCTCTAACTTAGTCTAAGCAGAGGTTGGTGGGGAAGATTGTGTCCTTCTAGTATCATATGTCTTGTTTAATAGTTGCAGAATTTGGAAAATATTGATCGACACACTAAAAATGTTTGGAAACCATTACCATTTTGTCTTTTACACTTCATTTAAGATGTAGGTGGTAGCAGTCAATCCATAAGCAGGGCTAGTTCAGGTGCAGGTACTACTAGTACATTTGTAGACATCAGAAATACCTGCACAGCTCCAATTCGACCCGCACTATCTATTAATTGATCATAGCCTCACCATTTATAATAAAAGGCCGGTTTGTGTTCAATGAACATCAATCCATATCCATATGTTTAATAGGCCATAAATTTTAATAAAACCAAGCTGGCCCATTCATTCTCATAATCCAATTCAAAACATACTTAATCCTGTTCTGAATAAATAATAATAATGACTAAAATGACAGTTTTGACGTCAAATTTGGAAGAGAATTATGACAATACTTACCGACATGACGTTGTTCTATCTGCACTTTTGGCACAGTCTGTTTCAAAAATCATTTCAACAACCCCGCCAAAATTTCAAATATTGTTATGGACGCCATTTTGAATCGTAAACCAACATATTATACCCCCAAAGTTAGCCTAAAATTACATGTTCCTCACAGATTTTCTCACATAATAGTCTTACATTCACATAGAATCAGGCAATATCAAACTTCTCCTTGAAAATAACCAGAAAGGAAGACAAAATGGTCGATTTTTCCGACACACGACACGAAGCTTGTTGTCAGGAATGCTATGCCAAGTGACCTGGATTGACCTCCACCGCATCATACCAAAGAGGTTCAAATCTTACTGCAAAAACGTTTTGAGCGAAGAAAATGAAATCAGAGCATCTATTTCTTCCACAAATAATACAAACATATTCAAATATGTTCTAGAAATAGTCGGTTTTTCGTTTTACGTCATAAAATGTTCTGTGTAGTATTTTATTTGTAAAAGTTCGTAAATGGTACTCTGCGTTTGCGTGCTATCGTCGCCGGTGAACTACCTGTCGTGAGGCCTATTCACACACCTTTTCCTGTATTCCCTACCTATTGTATTTTTGTCGTGGTCACACTGACATGCTGAAAATGTATTCTGTCCCCAAATTACTACATTAACCTTGGTAAAAACCGTATTCTTGGCGTTTTCTGAGCGAACAAAATCATAGGTCACAGGCCAAGGCTTCCGAGGCACCTGTTCTGTTGACTTCGACCTTAAGGTAGGATATTTCTTTTCCCATACTGAAGTGGTTAATATCAATGTAACAGAGAATATTAGAAACAACTGTTTATAAGTCTGCTTAGCAAATTGTTAGAATTCAATATCTCCTTTGTTTTGTTTTTACTGTTGATTTTATTTCTTTTGGATGAAATTGGTAAGGATTTTAAATTTCTGTGCCGTTTCTCAAGTTTCAAAGTCCATTTTGACATTTAACCTAGTGAACCCGGCTACTGTCTAGCTATTCTACGTGCTTCATCATCTACATCAGCGACATGGCTGTATACACAACTTAAGAGCCATATTAAATAACCGTTGTCAAGGTTACAAACCGGATTATGCGCGAATTCAACAGGTTCATTAAATATTAAGGTCTTTATATCATTCCACAATCGCAAAGTACAAGGTGGCTATTGTACTCTTGTTTGTCGTTACAGAGTTTTGCTTTTGTTCATACATGTGAATTGAAGCATGACTCAGGGCCTAACTATACTAGAGTTATAGTCTCCACCAGACTCCTTTGCAGGCTTAATAAATAGTAGCCTCTACCAGGCACCACGGATCGCTGGAAAAATAGTAGAAATTGGCCAAAATAAAGGGATAGTATACCAGAGAAGATTTGGAGCTTCTATGGCC